TTTGTGCCAACCATTTTGTTTTAGTTTGCTGTTTTGCTTTTATCAACCAAATAAGGGAGTGTTTGCTTCCCTTATGGTTTACTTCTAATCATGCAGGTGATGATGGAGTTGCTCTTAGGGTTGGGCTTGTGCATGTGGGCGGGTCTTGCTGTTCCAGCGAAATTTCTCTCGGTCCTCCCACATTCTGAGGAGAATAGGTGAGCCTATCTTGTCCTCTGTATTTTGTAAGCTTGTTACGTGGTAATGTAGCTGATAGTCAGAAAGCTTCTGAGGAGAATAGGTGAGCGTATCTTGTCCTCTGTATTTTGTAAGCTTGTTACGTGGTAATGTAGCTGATAGTCAGAAAGCTTCTGAGGAGAATAGGTGAGCCTATCTTGTCCTCTGTATTTTGTAAGGTTGTTACGTGGTAATGTAGGTGATAGTCAGAAAGCCAGGAAGTGAGCCTAGCTCAACTGGTTAGGTGGGAGGTGTGGTCATGCACCCAACCACCCAAGTCCTCTCTCGGCTTGAATTTGGCTGCCTATTTCTCTTCTTATTGAAAAACCTCCTAGTTCCTTCTAGGTTGGATCTCTTTTTTTTTTCAATCTAAAAAAGTCGAAACTAGTTTCTTTCCTAAATTGGAATTGCGAAATCCTGGAACAGGGAACTAGGAAACCAAGTTACAGAAAGTGGGACTCTGTACCATTGCTTTAGCAGCCGTAATCATAATAACTTATGTAGCTGTGCGTGCATCATCAACACTAGGTTATTGCACAGGCATGCAGTATATTACAGTATCATGTGTGACCTAAAATACAGGAATATACAACCGTTTGCAGTTCTTTATCCTTCGTTGGTGCTTCTATTGATAGAAAATAATAACAAAAAGCTGGATTCTGCAACATATTTGAAACTCGTAACTTCGTAAGTCATAATAAGTTCATTCAAATTGAATAGTCATTCAGAATTGGGTTTGTTTCATCATAACATTTGTGACTGCATCTAGCGATAGCACTTGCAAGTTGTTATATTGGAAGCGGAAAATTCATTTTTTGTGAGGCTATAGCATAACATCAAGATTAAATTTGTGATGTACATTCTGTTGATCTTGTCATTATGTCAATTTAATACTGTACTATCATGCGCCAAACTGAGAATTGGGTGGGTATGCATAACTAGTTTGTAAGCATGTACTGTCTTGCTATGTGAGTTTATTGCACATGCATACAGTGTAGTACAATGTCATAAGCCACTCTGACCTAAAATACAAGAACACAGAACTGTTTGTAGTTGTTTATCATTTGTTGGTGCTTTTATTTATATATATAGGAATAATGATAAAATACTAAATACCGCAACATATTTGAAACAAGTAAATTCATTCAAACATCAATTATGGCCATTCAGAATTTGGTGTATTTCATCATACCATATCTTGACTGCATAATCACTTAATTTTGTTCAGTGATGGCACCTGCCAGTTTGTATATTGGAAGAGGAAAATCTCAGTTTTGGTATATGTGGGAATGGGAGGCTATAACATAGCATCAAGATTAAATTGTGTTGCTGATTTTGTTGATTTTGTCATTTTATCAATTTGGTAATTGGTACTGTAATAATATATGCCAAATTGAGAATTGAGTATCAAATATGTGTAACCATTTTCTATATAAACCTCAATTTATTTGGTCATTTGGAGTACTGCTACACATACTACCATTTGCTACAACTCACTAACTCAGGATCTAATCGTTGAAATAGCCTATATGGAAAACTCATTGGCACAAGCTGTGAGCAAAATGGTTGTATGTAGAGCATTTCCCATTTATTTCTTAACTTCTTTCGCTCTTGCTATGCGAACCTTTTGACTTTGACTGATTTCAAATAATGTGGTGGACTGGTGGCGGTGTTTTTTTACCATGTCTACTAGTGACAAATAAACCCCCACCCGTAGTTTTATCTGGCACTTACTCTTTTTTCATTTTGGGGACATGGCTATGATACCTTTTGGTTATGAATAGGTAAATATCTGAAATTTTACCATAGTATTTACCTTAAAGTCACCCAAATGATTCTGAACTCTGGCATGTGCATTGGCGAACAAAATTCTTACCATCCTTGCCTTTTCTGAATAAGATTTTACTCTACAATGTGTACTCAAGCATCACTGTTTTACTTGTATCATTACATATAGTTGAACCTACACCAATTTGATGAACCCTGGCTGTGTAGGGGCTCTCCCCTTACATTAAGGAGTATATTGTATGATACATAACTCAGTTTTGGATCGATCATTAGTGCTCCTATCAATAAGAAGTAATAAAAGAAGGCTGAACAACGCAACATGTGAAACTGAGTAAATTCATTGAAATGTCAGTTATAGTTCAATCAGAGGGTTCATATCATCATAACATGTCTTGACTGCATAAGTACTTAATTTTATTCAGTGATGGCAGTGTGGCACCTGGCAGTTTGTACATCGGAAGAGGGGAATCTCATATTATGCGTATGCGGGACTATAGCATGACATCAAGATTAGATTCATGTTGCACTTTTTTTAATTGTCTTTAACTATTTTCTAAACCCATATTTGTTAACTGTCATCCTATGTGAATCTATACTGGCATGCACTAATTCCTAATATCTGGAGTATCTGTTTATTTGGCCATGGCTACTAAATATCTGGAATATCTGTTTATTTGGCAATGGCTACTAGTAACAGTTGAACTACCTGAGTCTTTCTTATTTTTGGTCTACTTTTCTTTGTGGACATTGTGAAATAAGAATACATCTCATTCAGAGTTTAGATTTTGTTCTCCAATGCTTACTCAAGGATCGTTGTTTTCACTTGTACTGCGTTATCACAAAGAGTTGAACCTACACCAAGCTTTTTAATGGGTATTTCGGTAGGTGTCTACCCTTACATTGGGAAGTTCTGTTATGGTTCTCTAATCCATTTGTCACCATGCCTGCAGGATCGTCTCGCTCCCGGCTAACCTAGATTTCATGATCTTCAACCACCGCGGAAGAGCGCTGCCGTCAGACTCAGACCTGACGCTCAAGACATAGACATGTCGTCCCAGATTCCAGATCTTGTTCTTTACTTTCCTTGTAACCTGGAGGAGGTTCCAGTTTTGTGCCCGTTTGTTTAGGGGGGAAAGAACTTTTCCTGAATTCAGACCACAAGTAGCTTATCTTCTGCAACTCGAGAATTTGTGGCACCTTAATTGCTACAATCTGTATGGAGGTGATTCAAGCTTCTGTTGTCGTCTGAGCAGATCAGTCCTATGACTAATCAGTAGCTTTGTTACCCTTGCTGATATTTCAATTAACGAATACAAAATGCCCGTGCGCCACTCGAGAAAATAATTCTGGCTGTGTTTGATTCCTATCCCTAAACTTTAGCCCTCGTCATAATTGGATGTTTGGACACATGCATAGAGTATTAAATATAGACTAGTTGTGAAACTAAATGCACATATTGAGATTAATTTGCGAGACATTTTTTAAGTCTAATTAGTCTATGATTTGACAATGTGTGCTACAGTAAACATGTGCTAATGACGGATTAATTAGGCTTAATAAATTCATTTGCGGATTACTGAGGACTTCTGTAATTTATTTTATTATTACTATTCGAACACTCGATGTGATATCTCCATGTAACATCCGATATAATACCCCTAAACTTTAGCCTCTGAATTCAAACACCCCCTCTGTTTGCCCACTATACATAGCTTCCATTAGGAAATAGAATAATCATGAATTTTGGGTAATCTGCTAGGCTGCTAAAGTAGTGATAAATTATGTCAATAAAATACTATTCACTGTTCTAAATTACAAGATGTTTTGATATTTCTAGATATATAATTTTTACTGTGTGTTTAGATTTTAAACATAACATATATAATTATATTAAGGTACGCAACAAAAGCCTCTTCCTAATATACAAAGAAAAAATTTAGACATAACATATATAATTATATCAAGGTACGCAGCAAAAGCCTCTTCCTAATATACAAGAATAAAGATTTTGGTGAAAAAATATCCTCCAATATCCCCTTTGATTGGACATCCAAATATAGACATTATTTATTCCAGATTTCTCGATAGCCAAAGATGACGAGTGAGGATGACTCTCTAGACTGCACATAAGATATAAAAAAGTTATTGAAGAGTACAACGATATAGAAAACGATTTTTACTCAAATGACTCTCCAAATGATAATTTAGAGAATAAATTTTAGAAAAACTCTCGGAGATACTAAACCTCCTAAGAAGAGCACCGCTATCTTCTTCTTAACTTATAGGAATATTTTTTTTTTGAAAAAATACCCTCCAATAGTCTTTTGAAATTGAATATCTGAATATAGACACTGTTTCAGATTTTTTTTTCTACCTGAAGATGAAGAGCGAGGAACTCAGGATAACTCTTAGAGTGGACACAACATCTATAGAAAGGCCCCGTTCGTGTGCCATTAAACTCGGCTTGATCCGCTTCTTTTTTTATCTGGAACAGTATTTTCCTCTCACAAATTCCTCCAGCATTCCTTCGAACCATCCAAATTCCTCCGAGCGAAAAGGCCCAAAAACTGTGTTACGACGAGTTTGCTAGTGGCAACAAACATCTTATTGGTCACATCACATCCCCCAAGTGTATCTAGCGCCACGTCACGTCCCAAACATTGCCCTGAATCACGGATGGGCAGCTTCTTCAGATCTGAAGAGAGAATATTCCAGCTGGACTGCTCATCCACTGAATCCACCGCGGCCCCAGACAAAACGTGGGAATTGGAATCCCTCTCGCGCTCCCCTTCCTCTCTCCTTACTCGCGGGCCCCACCGGACAGGCTCTCGGCTCCCACCCCAAAAAAATCGGCCCGGACCCCGTCACCCCGAGCTGTAGCTGCTCGCCCCGCTTGCCTTCCCCTTTCCGTTCTCGGAGGACGAGGGCGCGACGGCACGCGAAAGCGACGCGGCCGCCTCGCCGAAAACCCTCGCCTCGCTTCCGCCCTCCCTCCCATGACGGGCCCGAAACCCGCGCCCGCCGCCTCGCAGAACCCTAGCGCGGCCCCGCCTCGTCGTCCTCCTCCTCCTCCTCCGCCGCCGCCGCCGCCGCCGGTGGCGGCGGTTGCGAGGGCGCGCGAGGAAGGCGAGCTCTCCTCCGGCGCCGACGACGACGAGGTGAGCTCTCGCGCCTTCTCGACCCGCGCGCGCGCGCGCGCTCGATCGCTCGTCCCGGATCTAGCTGCTTCCGCTCCCGCGCGGCCGCGCTGCAGTTGCTTGCCGTTGATGCTTTGACACGTCCAGCGGCTAGGGTACCGAGCTTGGATCGGCGGGGGCTGGGTGCTTGCTTAGGTGTTCTGATGAAGCGTGCTTGATTTGCAGCTTGGCGAATTGTTGGGGGATGGGCAGGTTGGCGAATTGTTGGGGGATGGACGCGCTGTTGTGGGAGTGCCTCTAAGATCTGGTAGCGACAGGAAGAGGGCTTCCAGTATGGGAATGGGACTTGACGTTGATGCATGCTTAGAAGCTCATTGTTTGGTGTTTAGGAGTTAGGACTACGACCCACATATAGGGTTTAAATGTGATCTGATTCTGCTGTTACGGTTGAGCTGCCTTAAGTTGTAGTGTAGCATAATTCAATGAAGGTGTACGGGCAGATAGGTTGCTGATGTGAGCTTTCTGCTAGTTGCCAAGTCGGTGTTGTAGGTTTGGGTACTGTATACACGGATGGTGCTTTTAGTGCTGTGAGATTATGATTGGTGTATTTATGCACTGCATTTATCTTCTCATATTTAGCATGTACATGATTGCATATTTGTCACCCTTTGTTTTATGTATGTATGAACATACTAATGCATTTATTGCTGATTCACGTGCTTAGTTTTGCAATGTTTGTCGCTTATCGTGCTCATTAAATTGCTCCGACCAGACTCTGCAAACTCGGCTAGGTGCTACATCCATTCTTGGGAAGTTTGTGGAGGCTGGATCTCAAGTGCCATCGGCAACTCTCCTTGGTAAGGGTACGTTCTGACTTCTGATCAGTGATCCTGCGTTTCATGTGTATGCCAGTTTCCTTCCCATGGAAAGATAGCCTGCCTCTTTTCTGATACTGCTGCGTTACCTCTTATCCTCTGACTTACCAGGCAGTAACACCTTGATTGTCTCGAATGCTCTGAATCATAAAGCGTCTGGTCCAAGTTACAAGAAGATCATGAGGGTGAATCAGGGGCAATTCAAGCCTGGCACTAATCGGAATCTTTCATGGCAGAAGCCTGTGTCAAGTGATAACCTTGTGATAACTTTCTCAGATGATGATGGTGAGACAGACTCTGGAAAGACAAGGCAATGTAAAGTTAGGAAGGCCAGCTCTCAAGGTACACAGAGAACAGGGAACAGTATGCAAACTAGGATCATGAGAGAGGAAGTATCTCAGCAGAAAACCCTTGGTGCAAAGGCAGGTCCTGCACACTTGCCCGCTTTTCCATTCACACACAGAAATGTAGGGGCTGGCAGGGGATCAGGTAATACCTTTGTCAGGAACGAGCCACCTGTCCGCCAAGTTAATCCTCTGAAGTCTAAACAGAAAATTCAAAATGGGGTAGGAGTACATTCTGAAGATCATAGGTTAGAAATCTTGCGCCATAAAATAGCTGCTAGAGAAAATGAACTAAAAGGTCAAAAAAGACCTTTGTCCGCCGTTGCTACAAAGAATGCAGATTTTTCTTCCAATCAGCCAAGGCTGCCATCAGAAAAGATAGGGCTTGAAGCTTCCAACAGTGGTGAATATTCACGCTTTAATAGTCTGTCTGAACTTAATTCAGGACCAAATAAAAGGTTGAAGCTCAATCATCAGCATTTGTACAGCCAATTTCGCAGTGACTTGGTAACATTGGCACCAATAGGTTCTACATCAGGAAAAAACAATGTGCAATCTTCAGAAGTGACAAATCAGTTTGAAAATGGAATTACTATGAACCTTAATGTCAATGAAACAGATACAACAGTCACAACAGAACTTGCAAATCAGATACAACAAGGTGGGGCAAGTAAGAGCCTTCGTCACCACAAAGATATAGGAGGTGCTGGTAACCATTCTATGCTTGAGTCGCACAATGGGGTTGCAGCACGACCACCATTTACTGACACACAAACTATACCAGAAGATACTAGTGCTTTGGTGCCTGTCACGTCTGCCCAAGCTAGGCAACAGGTACTGCCTGTTGGTACTCCACCTGTGTTAGACGGAACGCCACAATTGCAACCTGGAAAGGAGGTTCGTTCTGCACTCTTGTGTTGCTCTACTTATTTTTCTTGTTTAGTAATACATCTAATTAGTTGATGCTCAGTTAATGCTTCTGCTGTGTTGCTAACCTGCTAGAATGCCCCCCCCCCCTTGAATGAACTATTGAGCTTGAATGCAATTGAGACGCATATAGTAGCAATTTGGAGCCACTAGAAATTTTGTACTGATTATACCTGACACTAAACTGAGAGGGGTTCCTTCTGGAAGCATCTATTTCAGCACGTCCCTGTTTTGATTTGATTGTTGAACTCATTTTAGTTTCTTTTTCTGGAATTATGTTTTACAGTGTCAAATTTCACAGTGTTAGTTACATTAAATTTTTATTACAGCACAGATAATCTGAATCATGATGCGAATCAGTGTGTAAGGTAAGGTCAATTCCCATTTTCTATTTTTTGCAGAATGCTGGATGTTTGAACTGCAGTGGCCAGATAGGCGTAGACACACGGAACACAATATTGTTCTCTCTACTTGAGATGGAAGAATTACAAGACAAGGAATTGGAGGATGCTCAGGAGCATAGACAAAAATGTGAAGCTGAAGAAAGAGAAGCTCTTAGAGCTTATCGCAAAGCACAAAGAGCTTTACTCGAGGCAAATGAAAGATGTGCAATTCTTCGTAGAAAAAGAGAGATTTGCTCTTCACAAGTCCATGGTTTAATTGCAGAGAATTCTTCTTTGGTGCAGTCTTTGAGTATTCGGAATCCTGAAGATGGCCTTGCAATGCCATCACTGCTCAATTCTCAGATTCATGCAGATAGTCAGATGCCTGAAAATCAGGGTGGTAGACACAGGCTACATCCTGAAGAACCTTCTCAGCAGCCAGTTGATAAGCATGAGGCACAGCCACACTATCATGATAAGCTTGCTGCCAGCACAGCTGATCCCAGCTCTGTGACTGCTGTCAATGCGGATAGCGTCCTTTCAGATTACATGGAGGATGATCTTCTGTTCCCCACTAGACAGGCAAGATCAGAATGCGCTTTGGATCTGGAGAATCAAATGGAAGAAACTATACATGTATATGCAGCGGAAAACAGACAAGTTTCTGGTGACAGTGCTCAGGATTATGAACTTTTAGAAGCTTCTTTGAGGTCTAGATTGGTTGAAAGATTTGGGAAGAAATCATGCTTGAATGGCACCATTGATGAAGGCACTGAAGAACTTGCTGTTGGAAAAGTAGCTGCAGAACATGGCAAGCAGTCTACATATGTTGGACATCAGTTACAGGAAGCAGAGCAGAATATTCTGACAACTCCTACTCCTGAAGGTTATATCACTTGGGTTTCTATTAATACTTCTAATTCTATACTTGATGATCTGTATATGTGTTGAGGCGTCACAGTGTATACTGATTTACCCTGCAAGCATCCATCCATTTGATAAGCTATATCTTCCATCTTTGTGATGAATATGTTTAGGCTCTTTAATATATATACTACACAATATGAATCATCTTTACTAAATATTGCTGATAGTGAGTTTTATTACTGTAATGCTATCATCTTTTCATCCTTGTGTTAACTTGCATGGAAATATATTAAAATTTGATTCCTATAGGATGAGGTCATTACTATTTAGAGGCATCGATTTTTTTTTTTTTTTTTTATGTTGATGGATAACAATGATCTAAAACTATGTCTATGCAGACAATTGGGCATACTCTTGAATATCCTAGTGTGGCTAGAAGTTATGTTTCTCAGTTTGCTCCTTTCCTTTTAGGAAATGGACTCTACACCGGCGCATGTGAACTTCTGTGTAGCAATACTTTATTTTGTTGTGCAGGTACAATGGAGCTGGAAAATGATGGTGCTGAAAAAACTGGCGGCCTCTCTAATTCTAGTAGTGGTCCTTCAATGGGCAACTGTGATCCTGAGGACAACATTTCTTCTCTCAAAGAGTTAGGCATGCCATTGGCTACGGACACTCTCATTTTTTCTTCTTCAGCTCCACTAAATGCTGCTAGACAAATCAAGCGGGCATTACCTGGGATTTGCAAGGAGCCGTCAGATTACAAAAATGACTATGTGACCAGTGATGCAGCGTCTGAAGTTACAGAAAGTGTACAAGATATGATACATGACCTTGTTGGAGAAAATATGAAGATTCTCCCAACTACCCAAAAGGATAATAATATGGTACACAGTGTGATCGATCCCTTCTGGCCCTTCTGCATGTTTGAGCTTCGAGGAAAATGCAATGACGAAGAGTGCCAGTGGCAACATGTTGAGCATCATGCTTGGAGAAAGCCAAAGCTTACAAAACGTTCTATGACCTCTGTTTCAGGTTTGCTATATTTACAATTGCTCTCTTATCGTGTTGATTACTTGACTGTATAATTCCATAATCCACACATTATGCATTATGAATGTTCGACATTTAATTTATTGTAACGGATGATTTTATGCAGGCCAGATTCCTTATGGTTTGTCTCAGCATATTCTTCCTGTGCCAGTGTATCGTGTTGGTTCAAATCTCATTAAAGCTGATCTGAACTTGACACAGTCAGTTTTGGCTAGCAGTTTATGGCAATATTGGCAAAGGGGGTTTTGTGCTTCCTTTCCTTTACCTTTATCTGTTCAAAGAGTTCTTCCATCAGATGCACCATTCTTACAGGCTGGTGATGGTCGGATTGCTGATTTTGATAGGAACAGACAACTATTAAAATTTCGAATGCTGGATAGCAGGAAGGTGGGTAGAGCGCACTGTATTGCAGTTATCATCACATCATGAAGTGGCATACATATATTGGAGTCTGGTTCTCCACACTAAACTTATTCTTGAAGTTTCCTGCTCTTTCTATTCTTGTGATATTGCATAATGGCATATCAAATATTTTGATTAGGTTATATTGGTACTTGTTAGCACTGCACTCTTTTCTTGTGGTTCCAATGCAAAAATGCTCTGAATTTGACAATTGCTTCTGTACTGGAGTACTGGACCAAGTATTCACCACCACTTAGGGTTTAAACTTTATTAACATACATTTCATACTTATGGGGTTTAAACTTTATTAGCATACATTTCATAGTAGTTGTAACATGATGAATTGACATTTTTGGTTTGAATGAATATATTTACTTCATTGATATCTGATCTGCTTGTATTTTGATTATTGCTGTGTAACTTTTTATTCTGTAGAATAAGATTGTACAGGGTCCTGTTGATATTGAATTATTCTTGGAGGCAGCTCTTGATTTATATTGTGGAAAAGGAAACAAGCCTGAAAGGATCAAGGTGACTTCTGTATTGGATATTGTACCCTTCAGTTTAGAACATGTTTTAGCTACTTCTACACAGTTGAGCTCAGGTTGGATATTGTTGGCCATTAGCTTATCTCTAAATAATGTGTGTTTTGCAGGCTCTTTCATTTCTGGCGCGGTCCATTGAGTCTGATCCAAGTACAGTTATCCTGTGGGTGTTTTATCTCCATATTTACTATCAAAAGGATGAAGGACTTGGAAAAGATGACATGTTTTCTGATGCGGTAAACTATTTACTGGTTGCTCTCTTGCCATTTAGTTTGAACTAAAAATTTTATGTTGGAATGCATGAGCTACAGATGCTTTACTTTTTTTTTTTCCTTTTTATTACCCTGCTTGTTCTAATGTATCAATTGCGATCTTATTCATACAAAAGCTAAATTTTGTTCATTCGGTATGGTTTGCTTGATTATGATTGCATCCCTCTAATGCCAGATTGTGCTTCAATCCTAGTGTGGTCCATCTTGTTTTTTACTTTTTGTTTTTAGGACATGAAAAAACTTTAGATGAGATTGAGGGCATTTCATATTTGTGGTTTGCATCCAATTGATGCATGGTTGCTTTATCGTTTGTAGATGCTATTGCATACTTATCAACAAACCTTATACTTTGTTTTCTTTCTAGGTGCAACACAATTTTTGTTCCTATGAATTATGGCTTATGTATATAAATAGTAGGTTACGTGTTGATGATCGATTGGATGCTTATAACGATGCTTTGAGCATGCTCTGCCAAATGACAGCTGACAATGACAAGGATCTACAAGAAAGAAGTGCTTTCATACTAGACATCTTCTTACAGATGATTTACTTCCTGTGCATGTCTGGAAATGTAGAGAAGGCAATTTCTAGGATTATTGGAATTCTTCCAACTGCAGTGCCTGATAATTCTGGTGACAAGTTGCTTGCTGATGTCATTTCTAGCTTGACCATGTCCGACAGATGCATATTTTGGATTTCGTGCCTATATATCTCAATTTACAGGAACCTTCCAGAGGAAATTATTGATCAGCTAGAGTTCCAGAAAGCTTTTCCTCGTGCCTTAATATGGCCTTCTATTGATCCCAGTGTAGATAACAGAGATAAGATTATAGAACTTTTAAATTATGCTGCTTATAAGATGGCTGAAGATATTAGTGAGTGTGTTAAAAACGGGGATCCATCTTACCTGATGTTATCACAATTCCTCGCTGTTAACCACATTAGTTGTCTAGCGGCTGTTGAAGGATTCAAATCTTCTGCTGATATGCTGGTGACGTACATGAAGGAGTACCCAATGTGTCCTCAGATTCTGCTTATCTCAGCTCGGTTAGACAGAAAGCATGGTACATGTCCTGGTCTGAAAAGCTTTGATGAGTTGATCTTGAATTGGCCTAAAGAGGCACAAGGAATTCAATATATGTGGAATCAATATGTTGAGCATGTTCTGGCCACTGATACCGAGTTAGCTGAGAAGGTACTGACTTGCTGGTTTGAAGAACACGGAAAAGATTGTGATATCCAAACCAATTCTGCTATTTGTATAGAACTGAGCAGCGAAGAGCCTGGAACATCATCACTTGTTCCCCAGGAAGTTGGTTCTGGTCCATCTATATCAGAAGATCACGTCTTTCGGTTATTAAACCTCTCATTGTACAAGATACTGGAGAACAACCTACAGGAAGCACAAATTGCTGTGGATAAAGCATTGAAATTGGCTCATGGGGAGTGGTTCGAGCACTGTATAAGAGAACATGCTGCAATTCATGCACTGGAGCTGGAGAAATCGTCGTCTTCGACAGATGCTCAAACTCGGGCTACATTCAGTTTGATCATTGGTTACCTTGCAGATCATCATAACTTGCCACGAGAGGAGCTGCTGTCACGAAGGTTTTGCCAGAATGTTAAGAAGCATAGGCTTAGGCAGCTTATAGATGACACTATTGGTTCTGTTCCTGCAGATTCTTCTCTGATAAACTCTGTCCTTGAAGTGTGCTTTGGTCCGTCTCTCCTTCCAAAAAGAATTGGCGATGTGAAGTACCTGGTAGATTTTGTTGAAATGGTCATGGAGGCTCTTCCAGCAAACTATCGCCTAGGCTTAGCAGTTGGTGGATTTGTAGCTAAGCACTTCACAGGTTCTGATGCAACCTCCACTGGGACCAGGTTCTGGGCAAGCTCTGTTCTGATCAACGCCATCTTCCGAGCTGTACCTGTCGCACCAGAATCAGTATGGCTACAAGGTGCAGATCTCTTGCAGAAATTGCATGTCACAGAGATTGTGAAGAGGTTCTACCAGCAAGCAGCATCGGTCTACCCTTCTCCTTCAAGCTGTGGCACGCGCATCTGAATTACTGCAAAGCCAGTGGGAGCAACACTGAGAGCATCGTGGAGAACGCGAGGCAGCGTGGCATCGAGCTGAATCTGACACCAACATAGTGTTTGTCCCTTTTGATCCAAAAGCTGCCTGGTGTTTTGCCAGGTGGAGATGTAGGTAGTGTTGTGTTAACTGGAGATGGCGTAGATATATCGGTGATCATGGTGGTGGTGACTGGTGAGATCATTTTGTTGTTTAGGTGCAGGTTTAGTGGGACATAGTCGTCGATAGCTTACAGCATGTGTTTCTGATGGAGTGAAGTGATGTGGTAAGTAGTAAGTAGTGGTGAAGGATACAGTCATATGGGGCATATACCATACTTTTGGATTAGACGGGCTAGAGAATGTTTTTTTGAGGCCGTTATGTTTACGTTTTCTGTTCTTTTGGTTTTCTCTGTCGTGGATGTATTAGATGCATAACTGCTACTTATAAACATGATGATCAATGGAGAAATGAAATGAGATTTTTTTGGGTTCACTCTTGCAGTTTTTCAGTGGTGTACTAATATTACTCCGTATGTTATTATAATCCAGTGCTTTGTCTTGATTGAATCTGATTTGATACGACGTGGTCAGGCGATGGGGGTCAGGGTTAGTACCACCGTTTTCTGGTTACATTATTGCAAGGGGCTTCCTAATTCTGGTTAGTTTACTGCGCGTGAACGTGGCATTCGGAAATTACAAGGAGCTTCGTAATTGTACTTGCCTATATATATATATTTTTGAAACAATCTTGCCTATATATACTACGTAAATAAACTTGGGTCTCAGAACGTAATTTGGGGTTTCGTCCAAAAAATGTTGACAAGTGTTTATTTCTGTGTGTTTCGTCCGGTTCATTGCAGATCTCTTGCTGTGAGGATGATCATGGGCTGATTATCAGTAGCAGTTAATTCATGTGCCAAACAAATTTGGGGTTAAGACTTGAGACTAAACTGAACAGAGCTCTCCTGCCCCATGTTATATCTGCAACCCTACCTGCCAGCCATAGTCCCGCTTCTTACATATGACAAACAAAATTCAAAGCTTGCGAGTGATGCTATACTTCGTTCAGAAGTAAAGTAAACGTTTGTTTCTCTGTGTTTCATTTGGTTCGTTGCAGATCTCTTGCTGTGTGGACGAAGAGGGATTGTATTACCATTAGTCGTTCGTTCATGTGCCAACCGCCAAACAAATTTAGAGCTACACCTACACTGAAGCGATCTGAACTGTCTTGCCTCGTGTTATATCTGCAACCATACCCGCTGTAGTCTCGCTTCTTAGGACAATAGCATCAACAACTGGTGATGCTATACTTTGTTCAGAAGTAAAATAAATTTTACTTTTGTGTGTTCCTTGCGCCTATTAGGTGTTAGCTCCTCTATTTTTAACACTTTAGACATCAGTTCAGTTGAGTTACATCACATCAAATTGTGATGCTATACTTTCAAAAATAAACGCTTGTTTCTGTATGCTTAGCTCTTCTTTTTTTTTTCTACACTTCAGATATTGTTTCAGTTCATTAATATGAAATCATACACCGTTAGAAACAAGTGTATGTTTCCTTATGCTTAATGAATTAGCACTTCCTTTCGTACGTTCTAGTCTGAACTGAGTTAGGCCCTGTGGCCCTATTCGCTTCTCTTATAATCCGTCTTTTTCAGCTTGTTTTTTCAGTCGGAATAGTGTTTTTCTCTCACAACAAATCAGCCAGAACAATGTTTGACTTTTTTTTTTCAATGGGTTTAACGGGGCTCGTGTGTCGCTTCCTAGAGAATGAACACCCCCCGCGCACGCGTCATGTCGGCTAACCGAACGGAGCCTTAAGAAAACTTTCAGATGTGAATTGATTTAGCGTCATGCTGTGACGTTGTACTCCATTCAAAATAGATATTTGTTTAATACTTCATCCGTTCTAAATTATAAGTTAGTATAACTTTTTTGGAGAGTCAAAGTATTTCAAGTTTGACCAAAATTATAGAGAGAACTATAAAGATTTATGACATCAAATAAGTACACTATAAAAATATAATTGATGAATAATCTAATGATGCTTATTTCGTAACATAAATAGTATTATTTATTATATAAATTTGATCAAATTTGAGAAACTTTGACTCTCCAAGAAAGTTGGAATGACTTATAATTGGTAATGGAGGGAGTAGTATGTTTCATGCATCTCTTAGCTCTTCTATTTTTTACACTTCACACATGGATTTGGTCGAGTTAACATGAAAAATGTGTTGTTTTTTATGCCAAAATGTGTTGTTATTAAAGTTGCTAATGGTTCAGTGTGCAACCGGTTTTTATGGTGTGGTCTTGTCGTGACTAGTTTGGGTGCACAATGGTTTCAACCCTTGGCCAAACCCGTTATTGGTTAATGGGCTGAAGCCCACGTAGCACGCACAAAACCATCAAGGGCGTCGACGCCGGCACGACGCCTCCATCCTCGACCTCCAGCTCTACCGGTCCCAGGAGGAGGCCCGAAACCCTACCGCCCCCGGCGCCGTCGCGGCCGCTGCTTCCGGACGACCTCGGGGCCAAGAACTCCAGCGTTGAATCCCGTGCCCACAAGTATGTTTCGTCAGCTCTTTGTATAGATTTGCAGTCAGTTGGTGCAGTTGTAGCACGACCATTTGATTGTTTTTTTTTGAGGGGACGACCATTTGATTGTAGTTTTGGGTGGAATTGATTAACTTGTGGTGCGCCCTTGATTTAGGAATTCGAAGCCCACGCACGTAATCATCGCCGCCAGGGGGCTCGCCGGCGTCGGCGCATCGCAGCCCCGTCCACGGATCTGCCGGCACGTACAACGGCGACGCAAGGCGTACTCCTTCGCGCTCTCACCACCACATATCCTCAATGCCTTTGTCCTTAGCGCGGGTCTGCTCAAGAAGGCCTTCGAGCTCTCCATCCTTGAGCAGGTGGATGAGGAGCTGAGGCAACACTCAGGAATTGACTGCATTTGTAGCGGAACAACTGCAGTCGCTGTTGTTAGGCAGGTACTGATGCTACTGCTGTTACAAGCTTGTGCTTTACTTGAATTGTAACCACTGGCTAATATTGAATACATTTACTGAAAACTACACCTTAACCGTTAAATCAAGATATTTTTTGAACAATTTAATCAACATATTTAGAGCATACATATCACTCATTCTGTTGCCCAATTATCCTTATGCACAGGGTGATCACTTGATAGTTGCTAATTTGGGCGATTCATGCGCTGTCCTTTGCCCTTGGGACAGCTAGGACCGTCGATCCCTGTCCAGCTCATCACTGACTTGAAGCCATATCTTCCAAGTGAGCATCCAAGCTTCTCATCTCATGGTTATCAGTGCACGCATATGAAGACACATCTTGACTCCATTTTGCATTCCTGCACACTTGCAATAGGTGAACTCGCAAGGATTCTGAACTCACTTTTAGTCTTCTGCTGAACTGGATGCAGGTCAAGGATTAAGCTGCTACAGGCTACGAGGCTCTGGAGCTGGAATCCCTTTACTGCATCAAGTGGCACATCAGACCTGGTAAAAATGAACTCTGCATAAATTGTTGTCATTAAGGTTACATGGTTAGTGAACCTTTGATGAGTATTGTGGCTACTGATATAGAACTTGCGATGTTGTGATTAAGGCTCTGGAGCTGGAATCTCTTTGATTTAGAATTTGCAATGTTGGTCCAATTTGAGAGACTGTTCTGATTCAGGACCATAAGTATCTTAGTCTGGGTACCACTTTGATTTGACAGCAATCTTAGCAACTGAATTTTCCCATGTTTTTGTTCTTGCATGACGTGGAAGTTCTTTCATTTTTTTGACTGCAATCAAATTGTGTTGTGTATGTACAACAGCTAAGAGGGGGGCAAGGGTCTGAGAAAACATTGTGTTGGGATTGGAGAAAACATTCTGTGAACTGCTTGTGTGTGGTAAATTGGTTATCACTACAAGCTGTATAATTTGTCTATCAAAAACTTGTTACTACTAATATCACATTAGGTTGCTTTCTTACAGCTTTACTTAGTGTTAAATTGCTTGTTAGTACTTAGTACTAGCTGCTAGCCTGCTACTTACTGCTTTAGCAATCTATTTATTGAGTTGCAGCTAGCTATCTTTTTAGTTATGCAGATTTTGAATTAGATTGATAGTTAATCTTAAGTCTGGTTACTTCAGACCTTTTTCAAGTGAAATGTCGACCAACATCAGAGGGTTCAGGAACTCATGATAGTGAAGAGGGTCATACATCTTCGATGCCACGTCGTAAACGGTCCAATGTTTGGGAACATTTTGAGAAAGCCTTGGTTGATGTGGATGGTGAGCTAAAAGCTGTTTGCAGGTACTGTCAACTGAAATTGAGTACCAAGTTTGGTACTAGTAGTCTTAGAGGCCATGTTGCCAATTCTTGCCCAGCAATTGAGAGTGATACCAGAAAGAGATTTCAAGCAAGCATGAGCAAACAACCATTAGATGCAAATTTTGTCTTTGATCCCCACCTCTGTCGTCAAGAGATGATCAAGTATTTAATTCATGCTGAGATTCCATTTCTGGAATTCGAAGACCCGTACTTGCAGCCATGGATTAACACAATGCAACCAACTTTCATAGTCAAGGGTCAGCAAACAATCCGCAATGATTCCTTCCAGAAATTTGAGGAGCTAAAGAAAGAGCTTTATACTGAACTTCAGAATTTGGATTCTCGTGTTTGCTTGACATCAGATATATGGACATCATCGCAGAACTTAGAATACATGGCTGTAACAGCTCACTACATTGATGCAGAATTTAAGATCAATCAAAAGATCATTTGGTTTAAAAAACCAGAGTATCCTCACTCCGGCATTGCAATTGAAGAAGAAATAGTGAGGTGCTTGACAGAATGGGATATAAGGGATAAATTGTTTACTTTGACATTAGATAATGCAAGTAATAACACTTCGGCATGTGAGGAGTTGATAACAAATCATAAACATGAGTTATTGTTTGATGGTGAACATCTACATGTTAGATGTTCTGCTCATATTCTTAACATCTTGGTTCAGGATGGGATGACAGTGATCCATACAACAATACAAAAGATTCGTGAGCTGCTGAAGCATATTGATTCTTCTGTCTCAAGACTTCAAGCGTTCAATTAAGCTTGCAAATGGGATGGGTTGGCCTCAAAGTCCGCTATCTACCTTGACATCCCAAACCGATGGAACTCAACCTTCAAAATGCTTAGGGAAGCATTAAAATACAAAGCTGCCCTTATTTCCTATGCTCCTAGATATCTTGAAGTTTTACCTACCGAGGAAGAGTGGGCAATGGCAGCAGCAATTTGTGAATTTCTCAAGGTATTTGAAGAACTTACACTCGCTGTGTCAGCTGATAGGAAGCCTACATCACATTAGTTTTTGCCCTTAGTGCTTCGCATCCTCTATGCCTGGAAGGACCCAGCTTTGCAAAGTACCGATATGCTCAAGGTGTTGGCTGTTTCCATGCATTCCATGTTTGAGAAATATTGGAATCCTGATGAAGATAACTTGCACAATGTAGTTAAAAAAAAGAGAAAGAAGAAAGAGATTGCATTTAACCTTGTCTTAGTCATTGCCACTATATTAGATCCAAGAAGGAAGGCTGACTACTTAGATTTCTTCTTTCAGAAGGTGTGCAATAATACAAATCAGATTGATATGCATGTGAAGCATGCCTTAGAGTGGATGGGAAAGTACTTCACATTGTATGAGCAACGATGTGCAAGGAAAAGTAGTGTGGATATGATGGTGCCTGCTAACGAAGCCTTTGTTAATGTGGGGTCACTGATTCTTGGAAAAAGAAAGCTTGAAGAAGAATTTGCTCAATACAAATCATGACGAAGAGTTGCACGGGCACCGAAATTTGAAATTGATGCATATTTAGAAGAAGAGATCGAGGAGGATAATGAGCATTTTGATATCCTAGCTTGGTGGAAGGGAAAATCAGACAAGTTTCCTGTATTGTCAACTATGGTTCGAGACTTCCTTTCTATTCCCCTTAGCACCGTTTCGTCCGAATCTGCTTTTAGTCTTGGAGGAAGAATTCTTGGAGACCATAGAGGCTCACTAACGCCAGAAATGCTTGAGGCACTTGTTTGTGGGAAAGATTGGCTATTCAAGACCAAAGATCGCATTAGTGAAGGTACAAAGGTTTTTCTTTAAACAAGTGTTCTGCTTTTTCATTTCTGGTCTTTAAACAAAATTTTATTTTTAGGTCAAGATCTAGAACCCGAAGAGGGCTAGCAGTAGCAGGTATGTTGATTGCCTTCTCGAAGCATTCCAGATTCTTAAAGATTCAAGTTTTGTTTGCATTGCACCAATCCTGGTACTGCTTGCGTCACTTATAGATTACACTACATACATGTCTTTATGATGTAGAGTTATAGACTGAGTAATGCCCAACTGCAAAGCTGTTTAGAAGTCCAGTTGTTGCTGTTACAGCATTGTTGCTGCTGCTTCATGATATTCCTTAGGACCTGTTTGGATCAGCTAGGGCTAGTTACTAGTTGGGGCTAAAAATTAGCCCAAACTAGCTGGAGTTGGCTAAAAAATTAGCCCAACTATTAGCCTCCTATTTGGATGGGCAAGGGCTAATTTTTAGATAGCTAACAATTAGCCCTTGGTATCCAAACAGGCCCTTAGCTTTAATAAAAGAAATGTTAATAGGACATATTAGACCTTTTTCTCGTTTCAGCAAAGAAACTCCTTAGCTTCTGTCAAGTGCACATCATGGTGGCACCGGATTTTTCTGCATGGGATCAAAGTGATGTGTTTGAACCAGAGAAATGAGCCGCTCTACATGCATGTCAAGTGCACACTACTTTAGTTCGTTTCTTCCTTACACATTCACATGGCCCAGACCCTGTCATTGACCCACTTCTTCTCTTTACCTGGAATATATAGCTCTTGTGGTTTCAATAGTTGGATTACCAGGGTTAGGGGATGCTAATGAGCTGCTTTTTTTTTTCTGCCGCCTGATCAAATCAGGCATTAATTAGTCCTTGCATTCTCACTTGCATGCATGTGTGGACTGATGTGTGTGTGTGTTAACGCTTTCAGAACTCTTTGGTTTTACTGTTGTGGAAAAAAAGTTCAATCATACGCTTTCTAGAATCCTCTTTTTTTTTTAGATTGATTGGTTTAAGCAGTGAAGCTTGACCTCTGGCACTGACTTGTTAGAACTGCGGCTATGCGAAATTTGGCAATGGATCTTGTAAAAGATTTGTGATGGGCACTGTGTAATTTGGTAATTTATTAACAGTCAACAGAGACGAGATTTCCTGTAGTTTAGTTATAAAAGAAATAGCTGACAAACTACCTCTTAGAACTACATGCAACCAACTGAAAAAACTGCAATGGCCGAATGTGGCAGTTGTATGTTTGTGTTTTCAACATTTGTTGTTTCCATCCTAGCATGTTTCGTGATCATGGAGATTAAGAGATGGAAGATGAAGTATTTTTTTTTATCAAAAACGGTGGTGAAATACTTAAAATTTTTGTATAATAAGGGCTAAATATCGTGAAGACTTAAAAATTCTGTAATATGGAGTCTAAACAATACTTCCTCCATACTAAAAAATAAAGTCGTTTTGGACAGCGACATGGTCTCCAAAGTATTACTTTGACTTTTTGTTTTTATAAAAATAGTTATCAAAAAGTGATATATGTATATTTTTATGAAAGTATTTTTCAAGACAAATCTATTTATATGGCTTTCACATTTCCAAACTCAACAACTTAAATGTTATTCATGATTTATATTTCCAATGTTTGACCCAAGCCTTGTCCAAAACGACTTTATTTTTTAGTACGGAGGGAGTATGTGATTTTTGTCTTTTGTTAAATGCCAATTTTTTGTTCATTTTATGATTTGCTAAACTTTCCTCGTGTTAAAAATGCTACCTAGCAAAGAGAGGAAAGACCTACTCGCTAACAACTAGCGAGGAACAGGGGCATAGAAACCAAGGTAACAGCACGGGCATTGAAACCAAGGTTAGATCCCAAGGTTTTGAAATGGCTTGAGACTGCTTAGAGGAGAATGTGTTCGTTTGGTTTGGGCCCAAGGGTAGGGTTGGATTGGTTTGGTTTAAAGAGGTGGGCCAGCGGGGTGGATTGGGTTGGCTAGCTGGTCTATGATGGGTTTGGTGTGGGTGTGGTCCAGATTTTGGCCCATTATCAGGTTTAGGTGCTATACGCCTATACTTCATTCAAAAATAAATGTTGGTTTCTGTATGTTTCACGTGTCCGTCAGCTCCTCTCTCTTTTACACTTCAGATATACATTTTGTTGAGTTCAAAGAATCAAAATGAGACTCTTGTCTGTTGACATCCTTTTTTTCTTGGTTTTCTAGGAGAATGTCGTCGAATCCTGACGAACCTAGGAGTCATGCTTGGACAGGCTGTTTACTGAACAATGAATCTGAGGTTCAGCAGTCCTGGGATGAAAACGATGTTTTTGAGGCTGATGCTGGAAGTGAGCCTCCAGGTCCCGGAGAAAAATTCTTCTGGAACTTTCCATACCCTTACATGAATGGCTTGTTGCATCTCGGCTTTGCCTTCTCGTTGTCCAAGCTTGAGTTCGGTGTTGCATACCACAGGCTCTGTGGCTCCAATGCAATTTTGTCCTTTGCTTTCCACTGCACTGGAATGCCCATCAAGGCCTCAGCTGATAAGCTTGCCAGGGAGATCCAACAATTTGGAAATCCCCCGGTAGTGGCGCAAAACGGCAGGAGGGTTCTAGTGCTGCAGTGGCAGATGCTGTCCAGGCTGATGCTATTGTGCCAGATAAATTTAAGAGCAAGAAGTCCAATTGCTCCAAAGGCTGGCGCACATAAGTATCAGTGGGAGCAAGGGCTGCTCTTAATCTTGCATACCAACCAGGTTGTGTGAGCTATCTGGCTCTGATTTGATTGGTTTGCCACTAAAATTTCCTCTTGTCTTCAATGAAGCCATATATACTCTTCCAATTCTCACTGTCTTGACAAGGTACTTGCATTGTGACTAGTGTTCCAAGTGATTCACCTAATGATTTCATGGCACTTCAAGATTTAATCACAAAGCCAGGTTTGAGGGCAAAATATGGCGTGAAATACAAGTGGGTTCTTCCATATGAGATTGTACCAATAATCCACATTCAATATGAGATTGTACCAATGAATGACATATCTGAAGGGATGTACTGATGGAACAATGACTGTAGGTGAGTTCAGCGATAGAAAGGTTCAAGAAGTGAAACCCTGATTAAAATAAGCTTTTCGATGAAGGCATAGCCGTGTTGTATAGTGAGCTAGAGAAGGTCATGTCTAGATCTTGTGATGAGTGTGTTGTTGCCCTCACTGATCAGTGGTACATAACTTGTGGTGAGGCTGAATGGAAGCATGAGGCATTCAGGTGTTTAGACAACATGAATACATTCTCAGCTCAAACCCGAAATGGTTTTGAGCACACATTGGGATGGCTGAACCAGTGGGCATGTTCACGTTCTTTTGGCTTTGGTACTTGAATTCCATGGGATGAGCTGTTTCCTTGTAGAGTCTCTTTCTGATTCAACCCTATACATGGCTTATCACACAGTTGTGCATCTTTTTGCAAAATGGCAACATGTATGGAAAGAAATGTCTTCAATAAGGCCAGAAGAAATTACAGATGAAGTCTGGGATTTTGTGTTTTGTGATGGCCCAGCTCCAAAAAGTGACATCCCTCCAGCTCTGTTGAGCAAAATGAAGCAAGAATTTCAGTATTGGTATCCATTTGATATTCAGGTGTCTGGGAAGGACCTTATTCAAAACCATCTGACATTCTGCATATACAATCACACAGCACTTCAAGATTTGCCCTCGCTGTGATGGTATGGATGATGCAAACTTTGTCACTGAAACTGCAAATTCTGCTGTTATGAGGCTGACAAAAGAAATTTCATGGATGGAAGAGGTTACAGCTGCTGAATCTGAATTGAGAACTGGACCGCCCACTACATATGCTGACCATGTGTTTGCAAACGAGATGGGCATTGCAATCAAAGAAACTGAGAAGAGCTACAATGCTTTCATGTTCAGAGACGCCCTGAAATCTGGGTTTTATGACCAATTGGCTAGAGATTACAGGCTCTCGTGTGTGGCGAAAGCAGGCATGAACCTTGATCTGCTGTGGCAGTTTATGGATGTCCAGACTCCAGACCAGGCTCATCACCCCATTTGCCCACACTAAGCTGCTGAGTACATGTGGAGAAGGATCATGAAGAAAGAAGGCTTTGCAATAAAAGCTGGCTGGCCAGTCATGAGACACCCTGGATCCTACTCTGCGAATTGCAAACAAACACTTGCAGGATACCATAGTTTTGATGAGGAAGCTGCTTCAGAAGCAAGAGTCTGGTTCCAAGAAGCCCAAGGAGCTGTGCCTGCACCTCCATCAGGGGAAAAAGATAAGCATTGGCCTTATATATGTCAACGAGCACTACTCTGGCTGGAAAGATCAATGCTTGAGGGTGCTGCAGTCTAAATTCAACAGCCAAACACACTCCTGACAAGGGAATAGCAGAAGCTCTGATGAATCGTCCCATCAGGCAGGAAATGAAACTTGAAGCAAGTTCAGAAGCTCTGCATGCCCTGCATCAAGTTGAAGGACGAAGCAAGGGAGGTTGGTAATCAGGCACTGGATTTGAAGCTTCCGTCTGGTGAGATGGATGTTCTCCGAGTGAACTTGGAGCTGATCAAGAGGCAGCTGGGGCTTGAGCAAGTCGAGGTGCTGTCACCGTCTGATGAAGCCGCTCGCACTAAAGCTGCTGAGCATGTTTTGCTGCTGGAGAACCCAACCCCCCTCCCCCTGGTGACCCGGTCGCCATTTTCCTCAGCAAACAGGAGCTTGAGGCTTAAAACTGAGCTTATGTTATTGCTAGTTGGAACTTTATCGTGCTACTCTGTGTTTGGCGAAAGCCTGAGTTTTGTAAGATATTGGTCCTCTAACGCAGCCCAAGATCAACTGTTATGCTTTTGCTGTTAGCATTTTCAGAGAATACACACACCTGTTATTATTAAACTGTGAATGCAGCAGAGTTGACGTGTGTTTGCTGCTACGCCGTTGATCTGCTGTCCTGTCTGGTGCATCAGGTACATTTCTGATAGCAGTTGCATACATGGCATTTTGAGGGACGCTCATATGTATCCAAGTTAACGCTTCCTGTCCCATCACAAATTATGTGACCTTAGTCTGTCTAAATTCAACAATTTCAGTTTTTTTTTTGTAATAATTTGCGTTCTATGTGGTAGGCTTTGGATATCTGATAAAGGTGCTAGTAGGTTAGTACAGTAACATACTTTTACTTTTGTGTATAGCGAAAGCGAGGGCTCAAAGTTCCCTATAAGCTTTCATGCGATGCTCACCAGCGGAAGAAAGCTGACATTTTATATGCTTCCTGGAGGAAATGTGATTTTTTTTTCTTCATTTTTTTTTTCATCTCTGGATCTGGTCGTGCCATTTCCAAATAATTAAACTCAACACTTAGGTTCCACAAAAAAAAAGTTTGAAACGGTTGTCTCGGCACCCCAAATGTTGATACTGTGGTAAAATTGCTCTACCCACAAGGCCACAGGTAAGGATGAAAACGGAACGGAAATATTCCGAACCGAACCGCATCGTTTTCTATATTTAATCCGATCGAATCCGCATTTTCTTGTCCGATTTTACCGTTTTCGCTTTCGCATTTGAGATGTTTCGTATTTCAAATGTAAAAGTAGAAAACGGTTTACACATTTTTCGACCGTTTTCTACTTTTCTACTTTTAATTTGAAATATTCCGAATTCAAAATTCGGTTTAAACCGAATTTGGTCAACTGCACAGGTCATACAGCCCAATTACAGACTGCTCACCACGCAACTGCGTTATTTCTACTGGTGGCTAGCTGTCCCCTCTTATAGACAGCGCCCAGCCTCATCTCTCTTATTATGTATTTGGTCGTGCACTTGTTTAATGATATGTACTTGAACTAAATCATGTACTTGTTAGTTGTGAACTTGTTATATATTTGGTCATGCACTTGTTTAATGCTATGCACTGTGGGTCGGTATTTCGTATTGAATTTTCGCATACCGACCGTGTTCGACATAATTTCGCTCGAATTTGTTCGTTTCTGAAATTCTAGATATTCCGTAAGTTCGTGTTCGTTTTCGTGTCCGGCTTGTCCGCTTTCGCTTTCGCTTTCGTATTTCAAATGTAAAAGTAGAAAACGGTTGAGGAGTTTTTCGACCGAGTTCGACCGTTTTCATCCTTAGCCACAGGTCACCCTCGTGCCCCAACCAACCCCCAATAAATTCAACGGGGCAGCAGCCAGCCTCCAAGCCGGGTTCCCAAATCACAAAACTTCCCGCCTTAGCTCACCTAATACTCGGTCGGTGCCCCTCTACGTACTCCACCTCGCCACCGGCGACGCGCGCACCCACTTCACCTCCGCTCTCCTCTCCACTCCACACCACAGCGATATAACCGCACCGCCGCGCGACCAATCGAACAACAAGGCGCAGCTCGGGTGAGGGCCTGCTGCGGCCGAGGCGAAACGACGTACGATGCACCCGCTGGTGGAGGCGCTCGTGGGGGAGCGGCAACACTGGGCGCCGGCGCTGCGGCACGCGGCGGCATGGGCGGGGGCGCTCGCGCTCGCCGTGTCCGTCGCGTCGTTCGCGCCGGAGGCGGCCTTCGTGTGGGCGCTAGCGGGCGGCGGCAGGGCGGCGTGCGCGGCCGGGGCGGTGCGCGTGCCGCTGGACGGCGGAGGGGACCACGTCTGCGTGCCGGCGCGGATGGCCGGGCGGTCCGGTATCGACCTGCTCGTGCCGCCGGCGTTCGCGGGGCTCGCTGTCGGCGCGTCCGCCTGCTTCGTCAGGGCGCTCGCCATCGGCCGCCGCCACGACGAGTACTAGCAGACGCGTCCTTGGAGTGGAGGCATGCTACCGATCAATCGACTACTAGCCGCTTCCTGTTTGTCAAGTGTACAACAATATACACAGTGTACTAGCATGAAACATGCATGTGCACGTTCCTTTCTCTTTCCTGTAACTTGTTCATAATCATAACACGCCGGTAACCTGATACAGTATGGATTTATCGTGGACCAATACAACTTCTTGTGTCATTAGTAGTCATAACCAGCATGTTTCATTTGTCGTCAAACCTGTATTCCTACCTAGCACTGCAAGTAACAAGTAGCTCATCGGCCATCTCACTTTGACCAGTGCAAAGTTTGGTGACCTACTAAACTATACTCCTATTAGTAGGACGTCCTATACGTACATACTCCAGCTCCACGTTTCTATTAAACAGCTTCACCTATCATCACTAACAAGCACAGCAACTTCACCGAAACATCTCTGCCGCCACAGCTTCCTTACCCTGTCAACCTCCTCGGCGACCTCGCGCATGGGTGGCCTCTTCTCGCCGGACATCTCCAGGCAACGCTTCGCGAGCTTCGCAACAATCCCGAGCACCTCGCCGCCGACCTCGCCCCTGATCCCCGCGTCCAGGAGCGCGTCGAGCCTGCCGTCCTTCACCGAGGAAAGGAAATGCGCCGCGAGGCTGCGCTCCTCCTCGGGCGCCGCCAGCGCCAGCGCCTTCCTGCGCGTGAGCAGCTCCAGGGAGGACGACGCCGAAGCTGTACACGTCGCTCCTGTCCGTCAGCCGGCACGTCTGCATGTACTCCGGGTCCAGGTACCCGCACGTGCCCTGCACCAGCGTCACCAGGTGCGCCTCGTCGGAGGGCGCCAGCACCGACGCGCCGAAGTCCGACACCTTGGCGTTGTAGTTCTCGTCGAGCAGGATGTTGGCGAAGAGTCCTGCCCCTGCCGTGATTGCTTCATCTCCTCGAAGAGGAGGAGACCGCCATGCTGCCGGAAGTATCTCTTCTTGATGGCGGCGAGCCGCTTCTTCTCTTGGACCGCGTAGGCGCAAGACAACACCACAGCTAGCACAACCACACCAACGCTGCCACCTGTAGTGTGGGAATATACATATGGTTTCAGACAAATGTAACACAACTAAGCGCAAAAAAAAAAAAAAAAAAAAAGCCCAAATGTAACACAAGTGTATATATAGGCAGAATAGTTATTTTGGTCCCTTAAGAGTATCCTAGGCTCTTTTGGCACGACTTCTCCATCGGTTCCTAAAGTCGTTTGGAGCCATTTTATGCTAAACGAGGTAAAATCAAACAACTTCACCTAAGGAGCTCCTTAAATTATGCTCTCACAAAGGATATATGGAGGATGGAGCCAAAATAGTGGTTTCACCTGGCTTCAACTTGTCTTAAGTGGGCCTTGCATGGGTTCTGTGAGAGCATATTTTAAGAAGCTCTACATGTGGAGTTGTTTTGCCAAACAATTTACCAAAATGGCTCTAGCTCCATCTCCATCATCGATGTTCATGGAGTTGAAGCAAAAAATAACGGCTTCACTGGTGAAGTGAAGCCGTGCCAAACTTACTCTTACTCCTAAGGAGTTTTGTAAAACAACTCCCTACTTTAATATTTTAGCAAAAGAAAAAGAATCTCCTGCCACAGTTTGGTAAAAAAGTTCCCTGAAAAAAACAAAAAAATGCAAAATATTCTCTTCAATTCGTAAGTTTTTGGAGTCGAGAAAAACCCCGTATCCACTCCCCATCCGATGTTTCTCGGAAGATCAGAGTAAATTTGGCTCATGAGTAAATTAAGAAAATAAAGGGTTCTAGGTGAGAAAATGATAAGAGACAAAAAAAAACTATTAAAAGCGGTTGTATTGGTTAGAAATAGTTTACGTTTCCCAATGAAAAATTATTTAAAGTTATTATAGGAGAGTACCTGAGAAGGGAAAAAATTTAATGTTGCTACTTCTTCTGTTAACTTGCTAGATCTATTCGTTTAGCAAGTAAGCTATATCAAACTGCTGAAGATGCTCTAACTACCGTCCAAGGTTTAATTTCATTCTTAAACTTTTAAATTGGCCGTTTCAGTCCTAAATCTTTACTTTTAGGCTCAATTTTCAATCTAGGACTATCAAAGTAAATGTTTTAGTCCTCAAACTTTGCACTTTAGGATCAATTTCATCAATGAACTATCAAGCAAGTGCATTTCATTCCCGTCCCTGAACTTTCATAGTTCATGAAAGGAATTAAGCCCAAAATGCAAAGTTTGAGCACTGAAACAATACTTCTAGGATGAAACTAAACTTAAAAGTATAGTTTGAGGACTGAAATGGTAATTTTTGAAAGTTCAAGAGTCAAAGAGGGACTAAAATGACTATCTTGCCATATATATGTTAGCACACAAACTCAAGGTTTGTTCGGTTAGTTTCTGATCTGAAGGAATTGGATTCAAGACTAATTAGCCAAACAAACTCTAAGGAAGAAGTTATTACTTAGGCTGAAAATGAAGGTTTGTTCTGTCGATGAAATGGAGCATATCTAAGAAATCGATAAGTTTAATTATGTGAGTACATTATTAACATACAAAGAAATTTATATTTTAATCCGTAGAACTTTCATCGAAAACAGTGTCTCTGGCGTCCTAGTGCTTAATATAATACACGAAGAGGTAGAAAAATGAAAAGGAATGAAGATTGCATACCGATTGCAGGCATGGAGTAATCTATCTCGCATCCACCACTACCGTCAGCTTTTGGTCGCCTACCACGAGGGCATGAGCATTTGTGGCCTCCTTCCGTGTTGACACATTTAGCAGAGGCAGGGCATGGATTCATCTCCTTGCACGTGTCAATAAGCAGGACGAATCATTATTGTGAGACATTTGACATCATATAAACTTCTAAGGGGTTGTTTGGAACGCAGAAAATTATTCATGTTTCTACGTTTTTCATGTGAAATGAACTAGTTCCTGTAAAATCTTATATGATTCATGTGAAATTCTTACGTTCTAAACAAGCTTTAAAATATGCACAATATCTCAAGAAGCATACTATAATTACAAATAAGCCACCAACTTAATATTTTATCAAAAAGTATTATTATATGACCTATTTCGACTATATATCAAGTTCTTGGATTCAATCAAAATGACCAAATTTCAACAAAGTTCACTCATCTCAATGAGGCCCGAAACAACATACCTGTCAAAAATTTTGGCCAAATTTGAACTTTTAGTTCAGACCAGAGTTTAAACAAATCCACAAGTTCTTCCTTTAGTATGAAAGTGCAAACTTATCAAGCTATAATAATCTGTGTGCCACGCCACTTGATCAAATTTTAGCTAATCTGAACATTTTGACTAGTCAAAACAAGTGACTCCTAGTTCGAAATTATCGAAATCTCTAAGATTCACCTATTTGTGTTAGGTCCAATTTTTTTTTCATTTGAATCTTAGAACCGGTATATGTGGAATGTCTAGACTTACTACAAAGGATCGCTATATATCGCACAAGCATCTCATACCAAGCCTAGGAGCATTTAACCAGTTATTGTTGTAGCAACGACCAAACTCTTAAATTACATATATAACAATATTGAATATATAACAATAACAACAACAAGAACAATAACTATAACAATAGCAACAACAATAACAACAATGAAGACGACGATGATGATGAGGAGGAGGAAGAGAGAGAACTCACATTCGCAGCCATTCTTGCGGTAAGGGTTTCCTCGGTACCCAGTTTTGCACTTGCATAGATACCCTGGGCCGTTGGTGGAGTTGACACACTCGTGGTTGTCGCTGAGGCAGGCATATGTCGTCTTGTCTTTCTGTGCCACCAAGCAACTCTTGTTGCCCACTGCCCAGTCGAGCACCAGCGGCAATCGCTTACCAGCAGCGCCGGCAAGGTCCCTGTTAGTGACGTAGGACGTCCGGAACTTGAACTTTTCCCTCTCCACCAGAAATGTTGATCAAGGTTCCTGTAATCGTGTCAGTATATGTATCCATGTTAGGTGCATTAGTTTGTTTCATTTCCAGTTGAACATCATGTTTGTAACAGCGTAGAATCTTAGGTGCTCGGTGATTGCACACGAGCACGCTAGGACCACGTCTTTAGGCACCTCCCCACCATGGCTGGCATGCCGTGCATGTCGCACGGGTGACCGAGAATGACGGCACACCGTGCAGCGCCCAACCATGGCGGGGGATGCGGATCTGAGCCTTAAAAGGCCAAGTCGAATGCATCAGAGAAGCTGTGTGTTCCGCAGTGAAAAGAAACCGTCCACTCTCTCGCGTGTATCGCTCTCTCGCCGCCGGTAGGGTTTTAGTCGCCGCGGTCACCACCAGCCGGTGTCGCGCCGTGCCGAACTCCTCGCCGAAGATCGGTCCCAACATTCTGGTATCAGAGCGTGGTTTATGCAATACGACGGTAGTGTGAGCCCACCGAGAGAGCCACCGCGGAAGAAGTTCGTCATACCCTCGCGAACGCCACCACCAACCACCATGGGCGATGCCCAGACTTCCAACAGCAGCGGCGGCGTCAAGGAGAGCTCTCTCCTTTGGCCAATGCTGACCACGGACAACTACACCGAATGGGCGATGCTGATGCAGTGCAACTACGAGGCGCTCGAGATCTGGGGGGTGATCGACCTAGGTACCGGCGTCAAGCGCGCACAAGATCGGCAGGCGATGAGCGCGCTCCTGCGCTCAGTCCCGAAGGAGATGTGGCAGTCGTTGGGGAGGAAGGCGACGGTGAAGGAGGCGTGGGAGGCAGTGAAGACGATGCGGATCGGCGCGGATCGAGTCAAGGAGGTGAACGCCCAGAGGCTCTTGAAGGGATTCGAGAACATCGCCTTCAAAGAGGGCGAATCCATCGACGACTTCGGCATGCGCATCACCAATCTCGTCGGCAACCTGAAAACCCTCGGCGAGAACATCGATGATGTCCGCGTAGTGAAGAAATTTCTTCGCGTGGTGCCACCTCGCTTCACGTAGGTGGTAGTCTCCATCGAGATGTTCGTCGATCTGAAGACCCTGACAGTGGAAGAGCTGATCGGGAGGTTGCGCGCGGCGGAGGAGCGTTTCGACGACAAGACTGAACACGTCACCGACAAGATGGGGAGACTCATGCTTGCCGAAGAGGATTGGTTGGAGAAGAACAAGCATTGCTTCCAATCTGGGTACAAGCCCGGAGGAAGCGGATCGGGCGGCGGCGCTCCAAAGAACAAGACGGCGGCACGAACTGACGGCGGTGCCTCGAAGCCGGTCAAGTTGACCTCCGAGGGCACGCCGCGTCGCAAAGGCCGGTGCCGCAACTGCGGCATCTACGGTCATTGAGAGCAAGACTGTAAACGCCCCAAGAAAGACAAGAAGAAAGAACAGGTCCAGCCGGAGGCTAACGTCGCCATCGGCGGCGGTGATCAGGCTGGCGCACTGATGCTGGCCACGTGCGACGTCGTGCACGGGTCATCTCAGTGTGTTCACCTGATGGAGGAGAAGGTCATGCCGGTGGACGTCCCTGATGGTGTCTGGGTGCTTGACACCGGCGCCAGCAATCATATGACAGGTATGCCGTCAGCTCTGACGCAGATTGATACAAGTGTTCGAGGAACAGTCAAGTTTGGCGACGGCTCCAGCGTCAGAATCAGAGGTATGGGCTCAGTAGTAATGCAAGATCGCTTTGAGGGTCATAAAGTACTTACTGAAGTTTATTACATACCTGAGTTAAGAAGCAATATTGTCAGTTTGGGACAGTTAGAAGAAAAGGGCTTTAAATATGTTGGTGAGAAAGGTAGACTGTGTGTTTATGATCAGGAGCATACTCTGTTGATTTCTGCACCTAGAGTTGGGAATAGACTGTATTTAGCAAAGTTTGGTTTAACACCACCAGTCTGTTTGCTTGCTCAATCTGATGACAAGTCATGGAACTGGCATGCCAGATTTGGTCACTTAAATTTCAGATCTTTGAGTAATCTTAGTGACAAGTCTATGGTAGAAGGGTTGCCTAGCATCAGAAAGGTAGATAGAGTTTGTGATGGGTGTGTTCTTGGAAAACAGCATAGAAAACCATTTCCACAAGTGTCAAGTTTCAGAGCTGAAAAGGTTTTAGATTTGGTCCATGCAGACTTATGTGGGCAAATTACACCTAAGAGCATAGGAGGTGCTTCCTATTTTCTGCTAGTGGTTGATGATCACAGTAGGTATATGTGGGTGGAAATGCTAAAGACTAAAGATCAGGCACTGGAGTGTTTCAAAAGGATAACACTAAGGGCTGAAAATGAGTCTGGTGGAAAACTGAAAGCCATCAGGACAGACAGAGGAGGTGAGTTCAACTCAAATCTGTTCACTGTGTTCTGTGATGCTGGTGGGATCAAGCACTACTGAAAGTGCATCTAGCCCTTTAGTGGGTTTTGGTTGATTGAATGACAACGTGATTAAAGGACTAACCCGTTTGCTAAGTGTGAACAGGTAATAGGTTATCTCACAGGTACTTAATGAAAGCCAAAATGATGTGTTGTTGTATAAACAATCTAGTTCGAGCACAAGACAACAATGCAAATGGAATTCATGTGAAGGCTTATTTTTTGTGGGATTTCCATTGACTATGTGAAAGCAAGCTCATGATTATTAGTTAATGAGACATGAGGGATTGCATATGGAATGGTCTCATATTTGAAGCTTGCTAAATTAAAATGAAAAAGATAACAATACATATGAATGGATGATTCAACACAAGATGTGACTTGATGGCTTGAGATGGTGAAGATAGCAAGGAAAGACTTCGAGGTACTAAGCAAGGGTGAAGGGCAAGCGACGGCTTGGCGGCCGAAGAACCTAGCTAGGGTGAAGAAGAAAGTACTTGCATTTAGTTGAGGTACTAATCAAGCTAAGATGGTCATATTGATGTGAAGAATCAAATCTATAATGAAGTATTTGATGGAAGTGACTTGATACATTTGGGGTTATTCAAATTTGATGAATGGAATCAAGTCACATGCTCAAGATGGCTATGCTCAAATGAAAAGATCAACATCAACTTGTTAGCACCCTTACTTGATGAAGATTGGAAGGGACGGCATCAATTCAAAAGAAATCAACTCAAGTGGTATAAATTCATTTTTCTTTTGATCTTGAGTTTAATAGGTATGCCGTACTATTAAGAGGGATGCATCATGTTGATAGATAATGTTTCATAAGTGCTCAAGCCAACCCATGTGAGGTTTGATTATTTGAGCGACAAATGTGCTAACTGATTTCTTGCTGGTCTGGCAATACCGGACGTGTCCGGTATTCATACCGGACGTGTCCGGTATTTGTCCAGCAGCTGCAAAATTGTTGTTCTCGGGTTGCTTCGTCGGGAGTTCCGACGTAGGTCGGGAGTTCCGACGGTCGGGAGTCCCGGCATGAGTCGGGAGTTCCGACGTCTCGCACTTCAACACACTTTGAGGTTTCACTGTCCTGGTCATACCGGACGTGTCCGGTATTCACACCGGACGTGTCCGGTATGGATGACCAGAAGCCAACGGCTAGTTTTCAAAAGCCGTGAGGGTCGGGAGTTCCGACGTATGTCGGGAGTTCCGACGGTCGGGAGTTCCGACATATGTCGGGAGTTTCGACACCTCACTAACTTTAACTCAGTTACATGTTTTTCAAAATTACTGAGGGTCGGGGGTTCCGACTTGAGTCAGGAGTTCCGACGGTCGGAAGTCCGGCATTCTTCGGGAGTTCGATGCCTCACAACATCATCAGAACTTAGTTACCGTTGGCGTAGATCGAGTCATACCGGACGTGTCCGGTATGCATACCGGACGTGTCCGGTATTGCAACGGCTATATAAAGCGGCTAGTTTTTCAAGGGGCTATAATACCCCCAAGCCTCCACCTTTGGAGGGCTCATTGATTCTCTTGAGATAGACACACGTTTTGAGCCTTGCCAACTCTCCTAAACCCTCTCTTAGTGAGTGTGTGATCCAAATTACAAAATCAATTTGTGGGTTAAGAGAGAATTTGAAAAGAGAGCAAGCCACCACTTGAGCACTTGTGCATATTGTCAATCTCGTGATTCGCATTTGTTACTCTTGGACTCTTCGGTCCTAGACGGTTAGACGTCACGGAGAGCACCGGGAGATTGTGGTGTGCCTCGGAAAGTTTAGAACGGTCGATTCCGCCGCCTCGGAATCAATTAGTGGAAGGAGGAAAAGGAGTTGGAAAAGACTCGGCTAGAGTGACCTTCGTGGTATCCTCTAGGGTTGACCTTCATTTGGCCTGCCTGCCCCCTCAACGGAGAGTAGGACTTAACGAGTCCGAAACCTCGTAAAACAAATATCGTGTCTCAATTCGCATTTCATTTGATATTTGTGTTGCTCTAGCACTTGTGCAGAGTTCTCTGTGTATTCGATAGTTAAATTAGGTGCCTGCAGTTTGGTTTGAAGATAGAAATCAAAAGGAGCAAGTTCGGGCTGATCTGCAGAATCGTGTATACTGGGACACGTCCGGTATTCATCATACGGACACGTCCGGTATTTCCGCCCGCACTAAAAATATTTATTCTCTGTTCTAACTTGATGTTGCAGGTTGTAGCTTCTAGATATATTCTTTATACCTTGTTTACTCTGTGGCTAACTTGTGAGGGGTGGTAGTACTCTTAATTTGGAGTTTCCATTTTGGAAACTCCCTTTCTAATTGTTTCCGCATTTAAAGGTGTTAATTTTCGTAAACGCCTATTCACCCCCTCTAGGCGACATCCTAGGTCCTTTCAATTGGTATCGAGCGAGGTTCTCACCCAAAGCTTCACCGCCGTGAGAAAAGGATGTCGACGCCTATCGAGTTGGAGCCGGTGCTTCTCCAAAATGATGGTTCAAACTTTCTAACTTGGTCAATACATGTACTCAATGCTTTTAGAGATATTAGTCCTCTTGTTGAGCATATTGTAGATGCAAGCATACCTCTTTCTATAGTTGATTGGAGCAACTACAAAAATTTATCAAAAGAGGAAGAAATATGCGTGCAACTCAATGCTCAAGCTATTAATATCATTTTGAGTACATTAAGTGTAGAGGTTCAAGATGAGGCAATATTCAATGGACAACCACCTCCGGAGAGTGCTCATCTCATTTGGACTAGACTTTTGATTTATATGGAAAATCCAAATGTGATGATGCACTTGAGATCGAGTCAATGGAAAGAATATCCATTGTGTCTTCATACACAATGAAGAAGCCTCACAAAACCTCAAGAGTGCCGAGCCGAGCAAGAAGTGCAAGCAAGCAAGATGACCTCATTGTCTGCTTTGCATGTACCGGACGTGTCCGGTATGCCTACCGGACGTGTCCAGTATGGTCGAGGCAAAGCAGAACCAAACAAGCGGTTGTTTAGAAGCGATGCTCAAGCCCGATGGCGACCAAGTGATGAGTCAACCTCAAGTATCTCATGATACTCATCACTTGTGTCTCATGGCCAAGAAAAGCAAGAAGAAGAATAACAAGAAAGACCAAGAAAAGGAGAAAGCACAAGTAGATGATCAAGATAAGAGTGATGTTGAAATTGAAGACAACTACAACCTTGATCATCTCAACCATAAAGACAAGTTCATCATCATGAAGATAGTTGAAAAGAATGATGAGCTTGAAGAAGAGATTGAGAAGCAAGAGCAATCGCTTCAAAATCAAGAAAAGTTTCTCATCTCCAAATTGCAAGAGCTAAAGGCAATAAATGAGAGGTATGAAAAATTGTCAATCGAGCATGCTTTAGTTACTAATTCCTCTTCTAGTGTTTCACAACTAGAGAAGGAAAACTTCGAGCTCAAGGCAAGGCTCGATGAACTATCAAGCAAGTATAATGAGCTACAAGCAAATTATGTTCATCTAAAGTGCTCTCATGAGGAAGTAGTAGAATCAAGCATCATGCTTGAGGTGGCTCATGAGGTTGTGATTACATCGGTAAAATTCTCTCAACCTCTCATACATCCGCTCACTAGTACACCATCTCAAATAAATATTTCTTGTACTAATGAGTGTGCTCCTCAAGCAAGCCAATCTTCCATTGAGCTAAATCTTATAGAAAACATAGAGCTCAAAGAAGAAGTGCAAAGATTAAAGAAAGATGTGATTCGGTTGAAGGGTAAGGAGAAAGCACAACCTTCTCAAGATAACCGTGATAACATGGTGAAGAAGCTTGAGAAGGGTTCAAACCTTGCTTCCTCCAAAGCCCAACAAAAGAATCACATCTCAAGCAAGGCCAACACAACCAAGAGCAAGAAACATGGAAAAAGGATGTGTTATGGTTGTGGATTGTATGGACATGAGTGGGCTATGTGTCCACACAAGAGTTGGGCCGACAAGGTTGAAGCCGCCAATCAAAAGGCTTCTACCAAGGAGGCCAAGCAAGTGAAGAGTCATGGACAATGTGCTTGTCTCATGAGCAAGAAATTGGGACATCCTACCAAGAAATACCCAATGAACAAAGAAGCAAGAAAGGAAGCCCAAGTTACAACTAGAAGATGCTATGGGTGCAATGAGACGGACCATAAGCTCGATGGATGTCCATACAAGCAAAACAAGCATAGAGCAAACAAAGGCCGCATATGCTATGCTTGTAGAAGAAAGGGGCATTTAAGCTATGAATGTCCAAATGGTAAAACTCCTAAGCCGAACACATTAGTTTATAAAAATACGCTTAGGAAGACCACAAAAGGTGTTAACACTAGCAAGGTGATGTGTTCACCACAAACTAGTGTTAAAGCCATTTGGGTGCCTAAGCACTTGTTAACTAACTCAAAAGGACCCAATGAGAATTGGGTACCAAAGTGTGCCTAGGTTAATGATGTAGGTACTTGGTGATGAGATGAAAGCTTTGGGGTGGTTGAGCAAGCAAATTGACAATATTCACTCAATCTATCAACCAATTCTCATCATAATCTCTTATATGGTTGACCCGAAGATAATTCAATGAACATATCATAGATTTCATCCTCAACATTGGTAACAAGTACCTAAAACCTTGTAGGATAGCCACTTTGTTTGTTTCGTGTTCTATAGTTCACAAATAGGTACATTTGTGAAATAATGAAAGTGGCTAATTAATTTCACTTGAGATTTATCATGTTTGCCATATGATGCTTTTGATCGTTCTCTAGTAGAGTAATTTATCTGTTGAGATGCTAGTATACAATAAATAATAAAGCTAAACAAAAAAATTATTACATGCAGTGATTTAATTGGTTCTGTCCTGAACCTATCGGACGTGTCCGGTATTACTTCCGGACGTGTCCGGTATGGCCAGGGACAGAAAGTCAATGTTTCTGTTCTGTGTATTCCGGACGTGT